ACATAGTTGTTTATTTGTGTTGTGTTGTGTGTGGTATTATGGGGAACTCACTAAGCTTTGTGCTTACGGTTTTCAGTTTATGTTTCAGGTACTTCTGGTTTCAAAAGGAAGAGCTTGGGATGATTGCAGAGCACACACCATTCGATTCCGCATTTTGTGATTTACTCTGATAACAATGATGTATTGATAAAATTTGATTACGTTGGTTTTATGACAATGATATGGTTTACTGTTTTATTAATTTAAAAATGAAAAAATTTCGGGTCTTATTTTTGGGACGTTACAAGTTGAGAAATGGTACCAAATCCAGGGCACGGGTCGATGTGTTCGACGGGTACGTCGAACCCTATATTGGGGGGGGGGGGTGAAGGTGGGTTGCACCTGATCCCACATCGGCTTGGAAGGAGAACGAAATATTTCCTTATAATGGGTGTGGATACCTTCCTTATCACAACGCATTTTAAAGTCGTGACGGCAACAGATCCCATAAGAACTCTGCAGTTAAGCGTGCCCCGACGAGAGCAATCCAGGGATGGGTGACCCCCTGGGAAGTTTTCGGGCCGGGAGCCCAAAGCGGACAATATTGCGATACGTGCTAGAGAAGGATGTTACAAAGAGGGTGGGGGCTGATGAGGTGAGGGGAAATGAGGCTATAATGAGGTTTAAATATGAGCCAAACCCTAAAAAATAGGGTTTGCATGCCTGGCACGTACGCCATGCGTACACACGTACGCATGGCGTACTCCCCAACCTTCCCAAATTACGAAAATGCCACTAGGGCTTCCAATGCACACTTTCTTATACTCAGGGACCAAAAGGCAATATAATTCAATTATAGGGTTATAATTAGAAGTACCTTATCATCGGATTGTTATATATATATATATATATATATATATATATATATATATATATATATATATATATATATACACACACACACAATTATATATCATTAGAAAGGTATCGACAATACCGTCTTTATAAGACTAATATTGAATACTTTTGACATTAGTTTAGTACAAATATCGTTAAATATATTTAAAATAGTATTATAAAGGGGCGTTTGGTCGTTTAAGTAACAATAAAGGGTGACTTTTGAAAATTCAAGGGTGGTTTTTGAAAAATCAATTACTTTAAATATGAGGCTCCAGACTCTCATATTTCTTGCACCATTCTTTTGATTCAAAAGTCTTTCTCTTCTTATCCTCGAGTATTTCGGTCTCTCGTGATTCAACTTCTCTTTCTATAGTTTTAGTATAGTAAGGTGAGTGCTGAAGCGCTACAAGAATCTTTTTAGAAGAAATATTCAATGGTGAAGTTCTGAGTTCTGACCACGGAGTTCTAAGTTTTCGCTAGAAACCCTGTAAGTTGAGCTACACCTATTACGTTGATGTGCACAAAAGTACCTCCTAGTCTTAAATTTATAATCTAACAAACTTTTACTAACTATGTACTTATAGACAATGTACCTAGTCAGATTATAGTATAGCTTGAGTAAGTTGGCTGTCGATCACAGGGAACATAATTAAATTAAATAAATTAACTACTCCTAATTAAACTAAGAAACAAACTTTAATTGGGAGGCTTTTACTGATTTTTCAAGATCAGAAGAACTTAAACTATCAACTAGCAATTAAGCAAGCAAAGAAACAAACTAGCTTCAAGAATTAAAAGAATACTTCTGCTTAGATCTGATTTCACTTTCTCGTATGGTTGATTTCTAATGTATGGATTATATTGATTACCAATTATCTAGCTATCATGATCTAATATATAGGCCTTACCAATTTATGAATTAACAAGCAATGATCATGCAATAGTTAAACACTAAATCGATATTAAGCACAAATTGGACTATGAATGATAATAGTTACTTTCCTATGATCAAGTTAAGCAACCAAACACAAATTAAGACTAATTATGCTCTCTAACATAGTTAAAGTTACTAGTTTTAATTACTTAATCTAAGATGTGATTAATCGTTACTCTAATTATTTAATGATCATAAACAATTAAGAGACAAATTCATACAATTAATATGATCAATTGACACACAAAATCTGATTTATAAGCAACATAAACTAGAACTAAATCATGTTAGGGTTTATGTATCAAACACAAATAAAATCAAATGTAATAATCCAATAATTGAAATCAACACATATAGATCAATTTCATCTTCACCAAACAGAAGTAAAAGGTATTTAGCATCTTATTGTAGCAGAAAAACACAATAGATCCATGTAAAATAACCTAGACATAAGTATGAAAAGCAAACCAACTAGATCAATGTAGAAGTCTTCTAAATCTTCTTCATTCCTTAAGCTTCACTTGAATCTCGATCTTCTTCTGGTTTTCCAAGGGTTCTTAGTCGAAAATATCCTTAGAAAACCGATTGCATTCTTTCTGATTTCGACCTAATGTTCAAGATTTTATAATTGTAAAAATCGGTACACCACGTCATATTCATTTGTATTTACCACTTTGTCGTTGTCATCTTCAAACCATTCCGTTAAACCATCACCAAAGTGGTCATCATAAATGAAGATCATAACATCAATAAGATATGCGGTCAATATAAAAGTAGTGTAGTCAATTTCAATTTCAATGCATCGAATACCAAAGTATAAGGGTTGATTAGGAATTGGCTAGCAGTCCATGCCTCTTCTTCATTTGCACAACACCATGTTATATAACGTCATAGTATGTTATCTCTGACATAACACAATTGATAAAACGAGACTTAACTGTCATTTGCTTTTTTTTCGAGCCGTATAAAACACATGTTGTACTAGTGATTAAAGTTAAAAGTAAACAAGTAATTGTACATTTACTCTTAGAAATCAACAATTTACATCAACTATTTATTTACTTCTCGAAATCTAATTATTTTAACACTATAAAGCTTGAAAAATCTAAATCAAAACCAAATTTAACAAACATTATAAAACAAGTTACAACTTACAACAACGTTAAATTATAATAATCATGAATATATCGAGTCCTCAGACATTTATTTATCTTTTATCATATTCAACTTCAACTCAAATGGAAAAAAATATACTAATTTGAAACCTGATCTTAAAATATCCACGACTTTGAATACATATTCATATGTTGATAATAAAATTTCAAAATTTTGGATATCCATAGTATCCACAAAATTCGAAATATATGTTTTTAGTTGTATTTTATTATAATTGAATATTCTATTGAAACAATTATACACAATTAATAAAAGCATATTTATATACATGGATTTGGATAAAAATAAAGGTTCATATATTGTTTAGTCTCCTATTTAAATTGATATATCTAAGTATATATAAAATAAATATGTGATTAGGTTGTATAAGATACAGTAAAGTTATAAGTTCAAACTATAATCTCACATCTCTATCTAAAATTTCATATATCCATATTCGTAATTAAACTTTCGTTCATATCTCAAAATTTAATGCCTTTCGATATATTAATTTTTTAACATAAATTATGCTAATTTTTAAAATAAAAATATCATTTGATTTAAATGTATAAAGGGATGATGGGGATACAATAATGTGATAAAAAAAAAGAAAAAAAAGAGAAAAAACAAAAAAAAGAACAAAACTACAAAATTGGTCCTTGTGGTTTGCAAAAAACTTGTGGTTTGCAAAAAACTTTGGATGGGGTCCAAAAACTTTTCAACTTGCATCGAAAGTCCAAAATCAAAACTTTTCTTTGGTTTTGGTCCTAAAAAAGATAAAAGGACTATTCTGCCCTTATTATTCCTTTTTCACATTTTTTTTATTTTCTTATATATTTTAATAATTAAAAAAAGAAAAAGAAAAAAGAAAACACCCTACCCCACACCCATCGACGGTAACTTCATCTCCTCTCTCTCTCTCTCACACACACACTCGACTTCATCTTCTTCGTCTTCCTTCTTCACCACCGACTACATGTCCTCCATCCTCTCTCCACCATCTTCATAATTAACTTGCATCCTCCTCCCTCTCCATCCGTCACCTACATCGTCTTAATTCCCCCCTTGTGACCTAAAGTTAATATATGTGAATTTGGAGAGATCAACAATAGCTAACCATCAAGGTGAAAATCGGATTAGCCATAGCCGACCGTCTCCATCAAAATCTGTCCAGACTCTTCCTTCTCTCCCTCCATCTGCCACCTATGTCATCCAGTAACAAGCAAAACCAGAAAAGATATTACAGATCGATAATTATAAGTTTAAAAACCAAACCTAAATCTCAAAATATGTTCATTAAAAGACATGGACTCCTGTCCTTTGCAAAAAAGCGACCGGTCATCGGAGAAGACAGAACGATGGATAAGGGAAGAGGGGAAATGGTTGTTAGAGGTAATTGGGATGCACTATGATCGAGATCCTCACCGGAAAGCAAGCGTGGAAAGATAGGGGGAGTAGAAACCCTCTGTCAAATCGGGTATTATGAGGAATCCATGGAAAGGAAGAAGGGAATGAGGGGTTTTTTTCGATGGGAAGGAGGGAGGTATGAAGTGCCGATGAAGGTGGGGTGAGCCGTCGGAAAAGATGAAGTTGAGGTGGGTGGTTTTGTTTGGGATGAATGAGAGAGAGAGAGAGAGGGGGGTATGCGATTCTATTTTTTCTTTTTTATAATTATCAAAGGGGGTGAGATTTTATTATTTATTTTGTTATTATTATTTAAATACTTAAACAAATAAAAAAAAGACAAAATTGCATTAATATTTATAAAATAAAAAAATATAAAAAATACAAAAAATAAATTTAAAGGGCAAATCAGTCAATTCAAGTGCTCTATAGACCAAAAATACAAATTTTTCTTAAGTTTAGGATCAAAAACCAGAAAACCTTGATTTTGGACTTTCTGTGCAAGCTGGAAAATTTTTGGACCCTATCCAAAGATTTTTACAAAACACAACGACCAAATTTGCAGTTTTGTCTAAAAAAAAAAAAAATAAAAAAAATACTATATGTATATTTTTCTGTAGCCAAGCCAAAGAGAGTCGGGGGCTGAGCACGGATGCTTCTCTCCTTCTTACAGAAGCCAAAATAAAAAAGAAAAATAAAAGAAAAAAGAGACTTGAGAGAGGAGACAGAAGGGAGAGAGAGAGGGGAAGAAGAGAGCGAGATAGAGAAAGGCTTACTCCTACATCAATGGCGGTTAGGGTATCTGCGTAATTGATTTTCTTCATCTCTATTTGAATCAGTTTCATTCTTCTGTTTTGTCTCCCTCTCCCTTTGTTGGATTTTTTTTGATAAAAAAAACCCTAATTTACCCGTATACTGCAAGAATCATCTTCAACTTTTTATTGTTGTCGATTTCTGAGAAAAAGCGGACTGACTTGTGATGGGAGCGCCGGAGAAGACAACTACTTCTAACAATAATTCTTCGATGCAGGTCAGTCCAGTTGCTTATCTTTTTTATTCTGTTACTCGTCTTAACGTAATTCTGTTGCTTTTTCTTTTGCTTGATTCTTATTAATACCTCCTTTTCGTGTTGAAGTTTTTGCAGTTCATTAGATGTCGAATTTTAAGCTATATGGCTATATCTTTGTGTTCTTGTCAGATGTCAGAAAGATAAGTAGGGGCATATATTTTGGATTGTTTATTTGGTTATAGATGCGCGGGGCTTCAGTTTTTGATTTTTATTTTCCCCTAGAATGGAATTTATACTTTTGTAAGCTCGTTTGCTGTCCATATACGTTTCAAACTTAGTGTTATCTTCAAATGATCTATATGTATATGTAAACATGCCTTATAGTCCTCCGGATTCTTGATTATCTCATATATTCCAGTACAACATGAAACTGATGTACTATTGTAACTGCTATTATGGTTTTATGTTACCCTTTAAATGGTGTGGGTGGGCTTCCTTTTAGAATACAAAATGTGAAAGTGTGCATCTCTTTTGGTAGTTCAAGCAACTAGGTTTAGTGCAAAAGTTGAACTTACTTTAGGAGCTTGAGCCTTGAGGACATAGTCAATGAATGGGAACACATATCCTAAAGAGAACACAGACTTGGAATGTATTGGCATCTGTTGAGGGTAGTATAGTGGCAAATGAAATTTATATGTCACTGGATACTCTCTTTGAATTCTCAATCTAATTCTAGTTTCCTATATATTCCTTATTTCAAACTTAGCATCCTCAGAGTTGGACAATAAGGGAAACCCTTCTTATGTGTTGGTTGATGGTTGGAATGACCTGAAATTTATCTTGTTATAAACTTCTCTTAGTTGCATATAGATGAAGAGGATACCTTTGAATTGCATAAATCAAGATTAAATATCTCTATTTTCTCTGTACCAATGCTGTATCTCTATATGTGGACTTGGAGGTGTCTCATGTTGAGAAAACGGGCAATGGAAAGTAAAATATGAATCGAAAATTAAAATAAGAAGGTAGTTCTCTTTTGGAAGCACAAAAGAGGAACTTGTATCCATTTCAATGGTTAGAGGAATGTACAAACACAGGGAATACGAATATGTAGTTAAAGAAACTAATTTTATATTGAAGTATTAGTGCATATATCTGTACATAAATTTCTCCCATTGGTGGAAAACATGCTTTATAAATGAGCATTTTAACAATAGTTTTCGATATCAGATAGCTCTTGACTACTTGATAGGATTTATGACAATGAATACTCATCTTCTCCCAACTTTCTTATAATGTTTGTCCTATTATTAGCACTTGATTGTCATAAAAGTAGTTTTAATTGCCTTTGTTATTCTTTCTGACATTTTGACTTGTTGTAGATTGTTTTAGTTGTGTTCATTGCTTTTTAGTATTAACTTCTCATAATAATAAAACGGTTCTTCCTGCAACCTTTTTATATAGCGTGTCAAGGTATACCGACTCAATGATGATGGAAAATGGGATGATCAAGGGACTGGTCATGTCACCATTGACTACTTAGAGGTTTGTCATCTTTTGGTTTTTTTAAAACATGTAAAAACTGAGTTTATTGTCTACATCAACTTTCCTACCATAAGTTACTTTCTAAAAGTTTACACTTAAACTAATATCTTCATCTTCATCAGAGATCTGAAGATTTGGGGTTGTTTGTGCTTGATGAAGAAGACAATGAAACATTGCTTGTGCACAGGATTAGCTCAGATGATATATATAGAAAGCAAGAAGATACAATAATCTCGTGGAGGGATCCAGAGTATTCAAGTGAACTAGCTCTTAGCTTTCAAGAGACTACAGGGTGCTCCTACATATGGTAAACACTAAATACATCTTATTATCTATTTCGATTAAAGTTCTTTTATGCTTTTTTTTACATTGATTTAAATGTTAATTTTATGCAGGGATCATGTTTGCAATGTACAGCGGAATCTTCATTTTAATACCCTCAATAGTAAGTACTTGTGATTTATATATATGGAATCTCAGTTTTGAGTTATACTGTAAGGAGGGTGAAATAGGAAGGAATTTTGCCCTTAGTATGTGATTTTTGATAGATATTCCATTATATTACTTGTTCAGATGAGACATATCATGGTGCCAACAGTGAGTTGAGGGAGTTGCCTGAGGTAGAGCTGTCAACGCTTCCTTCAATTCTTAAGGTTTGGGCCAAAAATTTAAAATTTTCTTTTAATTTTTTATATTTAACAATCATGGATGACATTGGTATAAAGCCTATAATTAGGTAGATTTTTCAAAGCACAATGCTGTAATAGGAAGAAATGAAAGTAGTATGCAATGATAAACAACTAAAGAAAGTAAATTGCTATTTCTTACATTTAACACTGTTTTTTAATAATTGTTTACAATTGCTTTTATCTTTCAGGTTGTGGTGGACAGTAGCATTACTGATCAGTTATGTGTGACAGAACTCATACTGCATGATGTATGCTATTATCAATCTCTTTCCACTCATAAAAATATAGAGAAACATGCATATTTGTTTATCCATATGATGCCACTGTATTTGATAAAATTATTATGAAATTTACATAGTATTCTATTTTATTATTATTCTAAGGTTAATGCTTTTTTTTATAAATCATTATAACCTTTGCAGCAAAAGTTTTTCCGCAAGTTGATGGATTTGTTCAGAGTGTGTGAAGATTTGGAGAACTATGATGGCCTTCACATAATATACAAAATTGTCAGAGGGATCAGTTAATACCCAAATTCTCATACTTTATGTTTTTTATAATTAATATGGAACAACTAGTCTGTCATTTTGATTTCATAAATTGTTATTGCAGTTCTCCTCAATAGTCCACAGATCTTTGAGAAAATATTTTCTGATGAACTAATCATGGACATTGTTGGATGTCTTGAATGTAAGCTGTACCTCTGTCTTAAATCTGTGTTTTAGTTCAGATTTCATGGTTTTTTTGTTGGTTCTTTGGAATGTAATTTACTTGATGTATAGAAATTTCTATTAACTCATTTGCATTATCAAAGATTGAATTATTGAAAGTAAATTTTTGTAATTGTAATATATCATTATTGCTATAGAAATTTATAATTGATGTATGCTGCTTTATATTCTTGTGTAGACGACCCTGATGTACCTCATGTCCACCATCGTGACTTACTTAAAGCACATGTATTCAAGGAGGTAATTATTTCCATTTTTATTTTTTTTACTGACAGCTATGTTGTGAAGGATGATGAGAAACAAAAAGATTTTCTTTCAGTTTGTAGTACATTTTTTTTTCTAATGTAATATATCACTTGTGTAGGCAATACCAATTACGGATCCCCTAGCTTCATCAAAGATACATCAAACATACAGAGTCAGTTACCTCAAGGTAAATTCTTGAATGTATTCAAGGAGGTAATTACTCTTTTTGCCTAATTCCTACAGAATCCTGATTTATGTTGCTTTTGTTAGGATGTTGTTTTGTCTAGAGTACTGGATGAGGCTACAGCTGCAAGCTTGAATTCCATAGTCCACTCAAACAATGGAATGGTGAGGAGGTTATTACATTTTATTTTTGTATAAAATCTTGAGCCTTGACTTTCATTCAGTATCTGATATATATTTTATACTTGTGTAGGTTGTGACTTTGTTGAAAGATGATGCCAACTTTATGAAGGAGTTGTTTACGAGGTTAAAATCGCCTTCCACCACTCCGGAATCCAAGATGAATTTGGTAAAAATGGGTTCTTGGTGCTTTTTTATGTTTATTGTCTTTCCTTATCCCTCAATTAATTGGTGTCATCACTAGAAAATGTAATATATACCTGATTTTTCAAAAAGAAACAAGAACCTAAACGCTAAGGGTTTGTTTAGTATGATCAATGATGGAATGGAATCATAAAGGAATGGACTAAACAATGTAATGGAATGGTTCATTACATTCTATTGTCGTGTTTGGTTGGCTTAAAGGAGTGAAATGAGTCAGTCAAACATGTTGTTTGTTATGTATATTGTATAGTTGATTAATTATAAATCTAAATAAAATAAAATTGATAAGTAAAGGTATTTCATGTCGTTTGAAATGTATACTATATGCATTTCATATACCAAACACTACATAGCCCTAATCCTTTTGAATAAGTATTAATGTTTGTTTATGATTTAGGTATATTTCTTGCAAGAATTCTGTAATCTAAGCAAGAGCTTACAAATGGTCCAGCAACTCCGGCTGTTCAGGTATGCTTTCTGAGTTTCAACTTTAACATTTTATTATGTAAACATTCTAATTTGCTAACATGTTTTGACACTTCAGGGATCTCGTATCTGAAGGCATATTTGAAGTGATTGGTGATATTTTGCAGAGTGATGATAACAAGCTCATTCTGACTGGGTAAACAATTTGTATCTCTCATACTCATTGATTTATATAATGCATTAATTTCATTAGGAAAGATAGAACAAGAATTGAATGATTATATATTACAAACAAATTACAAATGGAACCCTAACTTTTGATCACTCTAACAAAAATAGATTCAAGATACTTACAAACTCTCCCTCCCTTCTATTTATAGCTGCTCAGCACCGACCTAATAGGAAGAAACTACCTTATTGCCCTTACTAACAAACTTTATTATCTAAACCACAAATGAAAAGACCTAAAGACCCTTAACATGAATGACTCTCAACAAAAATCTGATGGATGCAGGACAGACATCCTCATGCTTTTTGTGAGCCAAGATCCAGCTTTGTTGCGTTCCTATGTTAGTCGCCAGGAAGGTGTCTCACTGATTGGGCTTTTGGTATGTACTTGTAATCATCTTTTGTATATCTGGCCTTTTTTTTTTTTTTTTTTTTTTTTTTTTTTTTTTTATATATTTGATATTGGTATGAACTTTTATAACAAAGGCAGATATTTGTTCTGTTACAGGTAAAAGGTATGCTTAAAGATTTTGGGGATGATATGCATTGCCAATTTCTTGAGATAATTAAAAGTCTTTTGGATACATATTCTCCAGCAGGACAGGTTTGTAGGCTATTTATACTTTTTGTTATCAGTAAGATATGTATTAACCATGAGTTAGAGTTATACCGATTAAAGGCAAGCTGAAATGTTTGTTCTATAAGGCTATTTTCAATGATGAGGACAAGGAGGGCATTCACGTCTTTTTCACATATAATGCAAGTCCTTGTCCTGCCTTTCGATTGAGTCAAAATTTACAATTTATATTTCCTTGTTGCTGAAAAAATAGTGATTACCTGTCACTAGAACTTCATCTTTTTCATTTATAAAACTTTGCATCCAACCTACTTTCTGATGTTTTTGATTTTGTTGCAGAGAGATGCTATTGTTGATGTTTTCTATGAGAGGCACTTGGATCAACTACTTGATGTCATATCATCATCATGTCCTCCATATGCTGCTCATAAATCCACGGATTCCAATGGAAGTTTGCATAGTCAAACTAGCATCAAGCCTGAAATACTTTTGAACATATATGACCTCTTATGCTTTTGTGTTCTGCAACATCCTTATAAGATTAAGTGAGTACTTAAATTTTCTTTGATATTTTTAAAAATTTACTCAGAGTTTGGGATTTGTGTAAATTCATTGATCTTTTCTTGTTTTCAGGTCCAAATTTTTGCTTAGTGGCGTAATAGAGAAAGTTTTAAGTCTGACTTGTAGAAGGGAAAAGTATCTTGTGGTTGCAGCTATTCGCTTCATTCGAACTCTAATTTCACTTAAAGTAAGTAAATTCCCTTGAACTCCTAACCTTTTACAAATCTACCCTCATTAATTCTTTTCTTCCATTTCCTCAAGTGTGCCTTCATCTTTTCAAGTATTGTTTTTAAACATCATTTATCCAGATAACACCTGATGAAGAAAAGAAGAAACAAGTCCTTATTTTGACGTTTTTGCTAGTATGGATTACTATTTACTAATACAGACATGCTTGTAAACAGTTAGATGGAGACATTTTATGTAGCAAACAGTTGGATGATGTAATCTTTTTTGCAGGATGAGCAACTCATGAATCATATGGCAAAGAACAATCTATTGAAACCGATTGTAGATGTTTTTGTTGATAATGGAAGTCACTATAATTTACTGAACTCTGCAGTTTTGGAGCTTTTTGAGTATATCCGTAAGGTAATCGTTTCATCACTGTTGACAGCAAGTCATTCATGTTCTTATAGCATTGTTTTCACAACTTAAAATAGTGCAAAATAGTATTTAATATTTTTAAAGTTATGTTATCTATCTATCTATCTGTATTTGGTATGATGACATAGAGTGAGTTTTATGCAGGAAAATTTGAAGACACTAGTGAAATATCTAGTTGAAACGTTTTGGGTGGAGTTGGTGAAGTTTGATGGTTTACCTTCTATCCAATCTCTGAAAGTTAGATATGATCAGGTAATTAAATTCTTTTACATTTATTTATAAAAATTATGAATCAAATGGTATATGTGGATTTGGAATTTGCAGGCCATGGAGCAGGCGACCAATCAAAATGGGCCATATGCACTGAACACTAGAAGACGTGTAGATGAGCGTGGCCTTGAGAAGGAAGAGGAGGATTACTTCAATGAGGACAGGTATTTTTTTTTTTCTTTTTGGATAAATAAAGATCAAAAGATAATTTAAGAAAATGGGGACACTTGGGAAATAGAAGGAAACAAAAAAAAAAGTCTCCTTTTGTTGACTTTCTACATCAAGTCTGTTCTTTTTGTGTTAAGTAAAAAAGAGACGCCCTTATACAGCTTACTGGAATAAGTCCATTAACATCACCTAGTCAAGAATTTGAATATGTTTCAATCATTTACTTCTTCACATTATGGTTTCCCAAAAAAATAAAAATAAAAATTTGTGTTCCGTTCCGACCTAGTTTAATGAAATGTTTCAGTGTTAGGCTTACGATTATACCCTTCATTTGTGCTTATCTCATAAAAAAGGTTGGAGGATAGAAAATGGTAATTTTGTCATTAATAAGTTAGGACAGAAAAGAAATGGTAATTTTGTCAATAAAAAAGTGTGTAGTTAAATTCACTCCAAATACTTGTGCATCTGGGTGTAAAGTTTTGATTTTTGAAGAGGAAGTTGGCCAAAACTTTTATCACACTTGTCCTCTTTTCTTTCCTTTTCTTTCTAGATCTTAACTTTCTTCACCTTTTATAGTACCAGATATCTCATATTTGAAAAATCTACCCAATCGTAGCAATTTCATCCAAAAATATAAAAAGCAGTTTTCCCTGTGCTATAATTGGGTAGATTTTTCAAAGTATAATGTCCTAAATCCTAATAAGCAATTTTTTGTTTGCAAGTAGAATGCTGTAATTTGGTAGACTTTTCAAAGTACAATCAATGCATTGACATTTGACAAGAAAATATTTGGAAGTAGAATAAAATACTTATAACACACAATAAATGAAAGTATGTTGCTATTTCTTGCATTTAAACTTAAAATAGTGGATTCTTGTATACCTAGCCAATACCATCCAATATTTTGTAGTAAAAAAAAAGTAATTATGGATTCAAGTTTCAGTCTTTCCTAAATAGAAATGTGCATCTGTTTTAAGTTTTAAGAAAGATCTAAGCTGTGTTCCTAACAGTGATGAAGAAGATTCCGCATCTGCATCAATGCCTCGTACAACAAGGATACGCGCACAACCCACTTTATCCAATGGATCATCATCATCATTAAGGTAGGTATAGGTAACTTCCTTCTTTTTTTTTTTTTTTTTCATATTCATACTTGGAAACTTTTTTATTTGATTTTTTAGATAATCCTTGCCCCCAATTTAGAACATTGTATTTTCGAAAATCTACCAGTTATAGCAGTGAATATCGCTTTGGCTATAATCATGTGGATTTTTCAAAGTACAAATACTGAAATAGAAGGAAACAATAGTAACAAACAAATAAACAAAAGTACATTGCTATTTGGAGTTTTAACATTTTTTTTTTCTAGTCCTAGTCCTAGGCCAGGTGGACTGGTTGACTATGATGATGATGATGATGATGAAGACTACAAGCCACCCCCCAAAACCAAACCCGAAAAAACACAAGAGGATGAAGGAAGCCTGGAATTCCAATTCCGATTAAAAAGAAAAATCTCCAAACAAGAACCCGATTCTGTCAAAAAACGATTGCTCACTAAAAACCCAATCAAATCAAAAGAAAGCGTGTTTGCCACATTATGTTCAACTCTAAGTCAAGCCGTATTGCCTTCAAAAAATACCCCAAACACTTCTCAAGACAATAAAGATAAGGGCGATACTGGTCCAAATAAGGAAACCGATAAAAACACCCTAACAGTGGGCCCCGAGGTGGCTATAAATGGATCTTGAAAAAAAAACAATAGGCAAATGGAATGGATGATAAAAGTGAAATAGGAGTAGTGGTGGTGGTGGTGGGAGAGGATACTGTACAGTAAGTACCATTGCAAAGGCGGTGGTGGTGGAGGTGGTGCCATACTTTCCGGTCAGGTAATAAGTCTTGATGATGTGATGGGTTTATTAAAACATTTATAAACTTTGTGTTCTTTTTGCAATTTTGGTTAGCTTTTATGATTAGTCTTTTAGGCAATGTGAAAACCATTATATAATTGATAGATGGGTTGCATAACAAAACACCCAGGGTCACGAGTGACTGTTATATGTGGAAGTGGAAATTTTCCCATGAAAATGTTTGGTGGTGGTTGGTTTGGTTGGGACAATGTAGCTGCGCTATTTATATGTTGTACATTATCAACTCCAAGAAGGTCCAAAACTTTCTTTTGCTATTTATTTATCTATTAAAACAGGAATTAGCTTTTGATTTCTTATATGATAAGATTGGGATGTTTTTTTAAACGGATTTGTTATTAGTAGCCATTTAGATTTGTCATAGATGATAAATAGTTGAATTTTCCACGATAGGAATTGGTTTCGTAGGGGAATAAATTCAAAATGCCACTGTTGTAACATGATAATATGATGATTACTATGAGAAAAAACAATAATAATGTTATTGTTAAATGTTGATGCAAACATATAATAGCATATGTAATAGTAGTATGGTGTCATGTTTTAGATGTAATACAAAACCGTTATGTAATATGGTGTCATGTTTTAATTGATAAATATAAGAATATAAAAATCTGAAGGCCTATTTTTTAATCCGAATATATGATAGAATTGGATTTAGGGTAATCCCAACCAAATTCATCCTAATTTTTGTTTAAAAATGATCAGATTTTAGATGACATTTATTTAGATTTTGGATGAAAATGTAGGATTTTTTTGGAATAAAGATTCAGATAAAAAAGATACTAGATAAAAATCCAATATGATCTCAAAAAGTTTGGTATCCGATTCCTATTCAACATATAAGATTTATCCTTTCCCGATATCCTAATATGGAAAAAATACGGTTTGACATTTATTTAGATTTTGGATGAAAATTTAGGATCTTTTTTGGAATATAAATTTAAATAAAAAGAACTAGATAAAAATCCAATCCAAATTTAAAAACTTTGGGTATCCGATCCTACCTAATAAATGAAAATAATTTTGCCTCATGTCATTCTCTCATGCATTATGCCATATATCATTTTGTCAAAATTTTGAGATATTTATTTTCCACTTGTCATTTATTTCATTTTTCATTTTTGAATATATCATTAATTTAGTTTCTATAAATTAAACATACCATAATAACTATATTAATTTCGAATTTTAAACTTCAATTTCAATTTTAAATAAATTTACAGTTGAAACATTCGTATTTAACATTTTGTTATAATTAGCACATTTAATACACGGCTCTGACAATTAAACACATAATTTTAATTTACTTTTTTCATATATATATTTTTTTAATATTTCATAATTTTTACTTATTTCAAATTTCAAATTCAAATAAACTTGCCGTTTAATCATTTTGTATTTAACATTTTGTTTTAATCAACCCGTATGGTATACATGTATCACTACTAGTTCGTATCCAACATATACGATTTATCTGATATATGAAAAAGAATATAGTTTGACATTCAGATTTGATTTAGGCACATCTGCATGTAAGGTCATTCGTTATACCCACCACTAATCACTATAGTGGTGAGTGTCACATCATCACTACACTCCCTACCAGTAACCATGAGATACCTACCACTAAACACACCACTCCACCTCATTTTTTTATTTAAATTTAATTCAAAAATACATTAAAACACAATAAAACATATTTTTTTTATTTAAATTTAATTCACAAACACAATAAAACATATATATATATATATATATATATATATATATATATATATATAATATATATATATTTTAAATTAGTTTTTTATTCAATAAACAAAGATTACATTAATTTAAAACACACAACATAAAATAAAAAAGATAATAATAAAAAAAACATAAAAATGCAACAAAAAACAACTTAAACTAGTTTTTAACCATTATTTTTAATGACTAAATTTTGGGGACTCTCTTAATTTTCGCAAAGCTTTGACGTGTTTAAACGACGTGTGTTTCGTGTCTTCATATTGGTGCATGGTCACAGCAAACGGGTCGCCTTCGTTTACGTTGTTTATAACAAAGTTATAAATCCATTGAATTCAAGGCATTTAATCCTCATGTCGCGAAACTTCGAACATATTTCATCAAGATTACGACTTTGGCAACCCATTAAATCATGGAAAACGTTTCCAACTTTTACCCAAAAATTAGGAGGTATTTCTCTTCTGAAACAGCTACCCATGCTGATGCTAAGTTCTCTTCTTTATTTTCTGACCAATTCATCCTTTTAGGAGCCATTGGTTTTGAATTTATCAAGCAAAAGAAGTGTGTGATTGTGAGAAGAAGAGAAAAGAATTGTGTGAGTAAAATGAATGAATATCTGTGGTATTTATAGAAGAGGTTTAATGTTGTTTGAAAAGTAAAATTAAAATTAAAAAAAAAAGATTTTAAACCCTAAATATGGCCGTTACTCAACAACTAATTACATTGTCCGTTTCCATTCGTTGCCCCAACCACGATTCCCCACGACCACGAACCACCACGAGCCATTGGGATGGTGTGCACGGTCGTGGTTCGTAGCCAACTAGACCACGAACCCGTCCGTTGCAACCATACCGGACGGCCTAACAAAAAAACAAGACAACAAAGATTTGGTTAAGAGATGGTTTTCGTAAGCAAACAAATTGAAAATGCTATAATGATCAAAATGCTAATGTTATAACTTCTTGTAAAAATCGGTATATGCAGCCCATTAGTTATTTGGCGGTCTCTATTCATATACAATTAATGCTAATCAGTAATATTAGGCGGATTCTGTCAAATCGACCATTAATCGAGCTTGGCGACCAATTAATCGTTTATACGGCCTTGGCTGTTTGACAGTTACTGATTGAGTCATATCTGACTGAGTTAGAAGTCTGACTGACTGTGAAGCTGACTGAGCTGACTGAAACCATGATGTTTGATTATAGGTCTGATTGATTGTGCTGAATAAAAAAATGACCATTTTACCCCTAAATTTACAACACATAATTTTGTCACTGTTGTCATTCTTTTAATAAATTTATCATTTATTTATTTTAATAATTAACTATTAGGGTAAATTACACCAATCGTCCCTTGTGCACATGCCAGAAAGCGTGTTTAGTCTCTATTTTCAAAAATTAACTCGGACCGTCCCTCGTTTGGTTAAAAGTTGCACGTTTCATCCCTCGTTAGTTTTAATTTGCACGTTTCATCCCTTATGCGACATAAAATGACTATTATGCCCTTTTGTCTTATTTTTAATTTAATTATAATTGATTTTGTATTTAAAAGAAATAAAAAATAAAAAATGTAATTCCAATCCCTTGTTAATTATAATTCACTTTTAATTTACTCTTATTTCTTTTTTCTCTCTCAGCTCCGTCACATTCCACTACTTCTTTTACCTTCAAGATACCAAGAACCCTAGGAACATCATCCTTCATCAGATTCCTCCTTAAATCGTTATAATACATCAACCTAATCCTAATCGACTCTATGTAAACCTTGATATCATCGCAATCAACAATAAAAAAATGAACGGATTAACATTATCAGTTAAACCTTTTAATTGCTGCCTTTGTAGAACCAATTTACGACGATAATCAGATAGTTTATCTGTGGAAAAACGTCTATGAACCACTAAGATCTGCCGATGAACGTTCATAGAATCGGGTTTGTTAGCCATCATTTCGAAAATGGTGGTGCTGGATTGGGGTTTATCAGTGGTTCACTGGAGCTGAAATCTGGAGACGGAGATGGTAGTTCGTCAAAGCTCACTGATCTGGAAGTGTGACGTACACCGTTTGTCTCAGAGGTGAGTTGTTTTGAACCTTCACCGTCTCAGGAACATCTTCGTCTCTCCAGATCCCTATTGCCTAAGTTTCGAACAAATGCCGCTTAGGTTTTCAAAAACAGCCTAGGGTTTCAGATCGAGCTCCATTGTCTGTTTGGTGTTGATTACAGGTTTGTTTTGGTTTTGTTAGGTGTTGGTGAATGGTGGTTTTTAGTGGTAGTCGAATGATGGTTGTTCAGGAGGTATTGTCGGTCATAGGTGAAGGTACCAGAGTTTTGAGAGGGGATAATGACGAGTGAGAAAGGTCAGAGAGAGAGAGAGAATAAGAGAGATGGAGAGAACCGGTGGTAATCGACGTTGGATGGTGGTCTCCAATGGCGGTGAACGGTGGTTTATGGTGACGGTGGATGGTGGTTCCCGATGGCGATGAATGTTGGTTACTGGGAGGTTCCTAAAAGAGTAATAGATAAGAGAAAGAGTTGTAAGAGTATTTCTTTATTTTTTATAAATAAATAATTAATAAACAACAAATAAATAGAAAAAAAAAATCAAAAAAAAAATAAATAAGGGCAAAATGGTCTTTTTATGTACGGAGGGACTAAGCGTGCAAGAAAAAACAACCCGAGGGATGGTCCGAGTTAATTTTTGAAAATAGGGACTAAACACGCTTTCTGACATATGCACGAGGGACGATTGGTGTAATTTACCCTAACTATTAACCAAAAGCAAAACACGTGAACTTCAAAGTCCATCCCACCTAATAGATATTTATTTCATTTTCTCATCTTTCTTTAATATATAGGAACTTAAACCAAAAACTTATCTGCCGACAATACACCGCCGAATATACATACCTCAGCTTCAAAGCCCATCCCACCTAAACCAAAAAAACTATTGTCCCTACTCTCGTTGTGGTATGTATATCATCGATTCAAACAAAGAACAAATTTGGATTTGAGTTCCAATTTTACAGGTTTGATTTCTGATGAAGATCCAAACATTTTTTTTTTCGATTTTGGGGATTTTTGGTAAGTATTATCATCGAGGAAGACAGAAATCTAAACTACTCCCATCGCTGAAACTCTCAACGACATCGACCCGAGTCCAGGATCTCAAGACGGCGATATGGTGTTCTCCGATTTTAGATATGTCAGAAATTGTATTTTTCTTTAGATGAGTTAAAGCCTTCATAGTGTTTTCAGGAATTTGGTGTTCCTCGTGGTTGCAGTGATGCCAGAAACTTCATCCCTTTGGATTTTGATTTTTGTTAGCAGAGTCGATGGGTAAATTGGGGGGCAAAGCATGTCTTTTTTCTTCATTTAGTCGGTCAACTTTCTTTTTTGGATGGACCGAGTCAGCCATTTTTATGGACCGAGTCAATGCAATTTCTTGGTCAGATACAAATCAAACATTCTGACCGGACCGAGTCAGACAAAAACGTCTGACCGGACTCGGTCAGCACCAAATCAAACAGCCCCTAAATTCTCTAATTCTAACTTTACATCTCTGTCTCTTATCACGTCGATAACTAAGTTTCTCTGTCTTTCATCATATCATGTTAATACGGACCTTCTAATGTATCTGAGCATATAATGAATAAGACTTTGCTATTTGTTTTAACTTTTAGCTATCTGTATAAACTTTGATGTGTATCTGAACATATAATAGTGAATCACACTTTGGTATTTAGTTATATTTATTTAACTTTAAACAAATTCTTTTATAATTTAGGGTCCCGACTAATCTCTATAGAGACGGATTAATCCTTTAACTCTATTCGACCGAGAAAAATAAAAAATAAAAAAATAAATTTGGATTATGGACTAAAATTATCAATTTGGACAAGTGTTTGTACTTCATCTATACTTACTAACTAAGATATTATTAATAACTAATGAAAGCTTAATTACGGAGTGTTTCAAACCAAAACCCTTTCCGTTTTGGACAAGTTCTTTAAAATTCTAATTCTAACAAGGGTTTTCATTTTGTACTACCATCTTTTTCAATTTTATACACGACAAAATGTAACAAAAGTAACAAAGACGTACAAGATAGAAAAAAACATACCACCTACACCTAAATCTCTTGTGTATCCACTTCTATATAGTCGCTTCAATTTAAAAAAAAATCCAAAATACTATCCCCATATGTGTGGGTACCCATTTCAAATTTCCCAAAAAAAAAACCATTTGAAATGGATGGATACACCCGTTTAATCTCGAGTTCGAAACGAACTTCATTTTGAACCCGATGATCAATTTTTTATTTTTTTGTTTTATACAATGCTAGGTTAATTCCCCTAAAATAAAATTATTTTAATACGCCACGCGGCATCAGCTTCTTGCTCCACGTCTGACACGTGTGACGCGCAAATGTTACAGATGTCTGCTTCGATTAGTGTTTTCGCTCCATTTCTGCTTACAACCGTCTTCTCTATTCTCACACTTACACTCTCACACAGAAACACAGTTGCAAAATTAATGGGGCACAACTTGGAGACGAGATCGTTGATGGATGAAGTGAGGAGCTTCAACAGTGCCGGAGGTCTCTTCGATTTTGGTCATCCTCTTCTCAATCGGATCGCCGGAAGTTTCATTACTACCGCCGGCGTAAGCCCCACATCCCTCTCTCTCTCTCTCTCTACATGCATACATCTGTCTCTCTAACACGAAGTTTGATTGATCGGGGAATGATGTAATGTGTGGTGCAGATCGGAGCAGTTCAGGCGGTTTCACGCGAAGCATGTTTCACTGCTCTCGAAAGTGAGTTCCCCAAAACTTCGGTCTCCTTCGCATTTCTTCTCTAAGAGTTCATAAAATAAAAAAATACTAATCATCCATAACCGTTTTACCAATGTTTACAGAATTGTTTAATCATGTTTAAGGTACAGATGAAGTAGAATAAGAATTTGACACCATAAAATTGAGCTGTTTTACTTATAATGAAGACAATGATCAAGTACTATTTCACGTTATCATCAAAATTTATTATGGATAACTGTTGTGATTTTGGCTTCAGATGCTAATTTTTTGATCCTTAAGTAAAAGAAAGTTAAACATTGTTGCATAAAATCAGATTAATTTCAAATACCACACCATGAGGTAGCCGATCTCTGGTTGCATATTTTGTTTAAAAACCATGATCTTGCATAAACTGAAGAAGAGTAAAAAGTTGTTTGCATAAACAAGCATGCAATACTGTGATAGATTAAGATGAAGAGATGATGAAACAAAATTTAATGTTAATTAAGTTGCTTTCTGATATTAATATAATCAGATGCAAGTGGAGACGAAACCAGAATCTCCAATAAAAGGAAGTTCCGAGGCCTTCATGGTATGATCTCATATCTTTTTTACTTTCATTAGATAAAAGGTTTTTATAGAGTAATACTAATTATAATGGTTGTTATCGATGTTGATTTGCAGGGGAAACTAGCAGAAACTCTGTTGAAGCCTTGGTATGTTTGTTACAAATTTGTCCTTATTTATTTTTCCCTTTCATTTCTTCAATTTGCCATCATTCTCTCTGAATGTTTTTTTGAACATCATCATATTGTGGTAATGGACATGCACTTTTTTACTTGAGTATTTATTATTCAAATAATAGTACAAGTACTAGAACAAGATTGAAATTAATTCACATTTGTTTTATCTATTTTTTGATGTTCTTAGGTGACAAGCACAGGGAAAGAATCTCTACAATGGGGTAAGAAACTGATCTAATGGACTACGAATAGTAACGATAATAATCAAAATTATAATGATTACAATAAATATAATAATAATAATAATAATAATAATAATAATAATAATAGTCGATGATATTTTTCATCTCAGGTCTAGCTGCTGGGATGTACTCTGGTCTGACCTATGGTTTAAAAGAAGCTCGAGGGGTTCATGATTGGGTTAGCCCTTGAATCTCTTTTGTCCATTTTTGTTATAATCGGGCAGACTTTGCAAAATAAAATGTCTTATAATGCTTAATAGGAATAAATGGAAGTTGCATGTTATAATAATAATAATAATAATATCCAATAGATGGAATTAAGTTGTTATTAATTCACATTTGTTTTATATAATATTATTTGGCGCAGAAAAGTAGTGCAGTGGCGGGAGCAATCACAGGTGCGGCTCTGGCACTTACATCTGATAATTCGTCTCATGAACAAATTGTCCAGTTGGCCATCACGGGTGCAGCTGTTTCAACAGCTGCAAATCTTCTCACTGGTATATTCTAATTTCTATGTATGTATGTATGTATGTTCTCATATGTTTTTTATGGTTTTAAGTGCGTTTACTTTTTTGTTGTAGCTACTGTTTTTATTAATTAATTGATTTAGTGGGGATGATTGGGTGCTTGATGTTCGATTTTTTTTTTTTTTTTTTTATTATTAGAATTTTGGTTTCTGGGATTCACCGGATTGATTTGTGCTTCTTTGGACATTTTAGTTTATTTATTGGTTTTGTAGATGTGTAAAATAATAAATTTAGTAATTGAATGCATGAAGGCAGTATATATCATAACAATGATAAAGAAGTTATTTATTAGATTCGTAAAATGTAACAATGATAAAGAAGTTAGATTCGTAAAATGCATGGAATCGTTATTTAATTTCTTGACAGCATAATGATTTCCTCGATAAGATTGTTCACGTTCAAGGAGGAAGAACCATTGGCAGCCGTTGCAGCAGTAGCCTTTGCCTTCCACTCCATGGCCTTCTTCCTCATCACGTGACCTCCTTCTCCCATCAACTCCTGTACAAGCTTACTAACTTCCTCTCTTTTCACGTCCTTCTCCATCTCCATCCCAACCTCCCATTCCTTGCATATATACCTACAATTAGTCAGCTGGTCCCACAAATAAGGCCAACATATCATTGGTACACCAGCTGTCAAGCTCTCAATGGTGGAACCCCAACCACCATGAGTCAAGAACCCTCCAACCGAAGGGTGCTCCAGCACCTTTTCCTGTGGACACCAGCTTGCTATAAAACCTCTCTTTTTTATAACCTCCTCAAACTCGGGAGGCAAAACTGCAGATTCTCCAACAACCAAATCCGATCTAATTATCCAAAGGAAATAGTGATTGCTATTAGCAAGTCCCCAACCAAATTCTATAAGATCTTGTAAAGACATTACTGTTGAACTCCCGTAGTTCACATAAATCACAGAGTTTAATTCCTTGGATTCGAGCCATTGCAAACACTCTGTTTCTTCTTTCCATAAGCTGTATCCATTAAAATTCGACATTTTAGCTTGTCTTTCCTTTGCATGAATCTGATTAAGAAGTAACTGCACTGGACCAACCGTGTAAACATGAGGAATCATGGACGAAAGAATATCCAGAAGACTAGTCTCCAATGTGTCAAACGTGTGAATAATATTGTAGGAGACTTTGTGGGCATTTTGTGGAACTTCCATACAGAACCTAAACAGTTTGTGCCAAGGGTCTATTATCGGTAAATGCTTAAGCTGGATTCCTTTCATTCCTGGGATCCAATCAACAATAGTTTCCAAAAATCCATTTGTCAAGTAACTTTCATCTGTATACATGAATAACAGCTGTACGATATTACATGTTGTACATATAAAAAGAAGGGCCACATATATCTAAAACACATTAAAAAAAAAAAAGCAAACCTTTTAGTGGTGTAAGTCCTTTCTCCATGAGAGATTTGGTCTGGTAAAAACCCATGAAGCCACAAGCCGAAAGTGTCCAGTAGAGCATGACCGGGATTCCCAACTTTTGTGCAGCATCGATGGTGAAAACCGACATGAAGCCATCGGAGATGATAAGAGTTGGAGGAGTTGATAGTTTGGTTGCAAGATCAAGAAAAGGAGTCAGTAAGTGGGTTTCAACATAAGGAATGAGCAGTTCTTTAGCTTCGTCATCTTCAGAACTACGAGGAATGCTGTCAGGAATGGATGCAAATTGGAAACCATTTGATCCATCGAGGCTGTGGACACCACCAGACTTGAGCAAACGCTTGTGGATGAACTCTGTGTTAATAAATGTTATTTGGAGTCCCTTGTGGTGAAGAAGCTGCGCTAGTTTCAGCATCGCCTTTACGTGGCTTTGTGCTGGAAGTGGGATAAAGATGACATGGGGCTTCTTCTCAGTTTTGGCCGCTGTCTCCATTTTTCTGTGTGTGTTTTCAAAGGGGTTGTGGTGAATATAAATGTGGGCTTGTTAGTGGACAGCTACGAATAAAACAAATAAATAACTAAATATGATTTGATATGTTGACTCAAGCTGATTGTCCCTCGTGTTTATGCGTTTAGGTTTTAATGAATGAGTTGTGGTCGCCAAGCATGCCGGTTTTTTTAGGATCATTATGGAAGTAAATAATATTTATATCATGATTTGATTTAGAATCGGAACAAGGAAATTTATTATTGGCTATAATGGCGAATTGAAGAAACCGAGATTTGATTTATGATCCCAAGAGGTTGTTTTGATAAAGCATAAAATCTCGAAGACAGCTAAGTTTCAAGTACGGGAGGAGTCCTAGTTTGACCAGATATTCAACTTTGGTAAAATATTCCACGATTGATAAAAACTGAACAATCGTAAATTTAGATAAGATGTTTGGACATGGCTTATAGCGTGAAAATTTTATGTCAAAAACCTAAACCTGCTAAAATTTTGACTAATATGTTCCCTAATAAATAAAAAACTTTTTTGCGGCATGTCATTCCCTAATGAGTTTTGATATTTGTCATTTTGTGATAATTTTAAAATAAATAATATCTACATGTCAATTTATGGTTTTTTCTAATTTTTAAAATTAAAAAGTCACATAATACTTATAGTTATATATGTAAAATATCAAATGTAATAAATATTATACGAAATTGCAGTTAATACGTTTCTTTATTTCTTATTTCAAAATTTTACTTTAAAAAATACTTATTATTTACATTCTAATATTTTATTTTTTAATCAACCCGTGTAATACACGGGTTTTACACCTAGTGATAGAATACAAAACAATCTTATAAAAATGTAATAGAACCTCACTTAACCATGAGACACTATTAGAAAATTTTGAGCTCGGCTCTCAGCTGTGCAAGTGGGCACCAAAATTTTCTACTAGAAAAGTATTAAAGTATGGGAGATAATATTCCCACAAATTAGATTATTTGATTTAGTCAATCTATTATACACTTTTTCTATATATTCTTTAAATTATGTTGTATCTTGTATTATAAATTACAACTCAATGCAAATATCAAATTATGGTGAAATTCATATTTATCTATCATGGTATCAGCCACAGTCTCATCCCTCTCTTAAATCGCAAACCGTAGTTTTTTTGCCCATACATTCTCAGTCGATCATCAACCTTCTCTGTCTTTCCTTCTTCCCTCTATACATCTTCTTCTCTCGTGGCCGGTTCCTCATCTTCACATGAGTTGCCTCTCCGCATGAATACTCTGCTGCATATGCTCACAATAAAGCTCTCATCCGCAAATTTCCTCATATGGTGAAATCAAATCTCAACATTGCTCATTCATCAAAATTGGATGCGTTTTGTTGATGGATCTTAATCAGATCTATCTAAAACTATCACTACAGAAGGTAATACTACCTTAAACCCAAAATATTCATCTTGGTTTGACACAAACAAGAAAATTCTTCTCCTCCTTTAATCTTCTCTCATAGAGGAGGCTATGGCAGAAGTTTTAAGCCTTACAACCTCTCATGAAGTTTGGAAAGCTCTAAACATATTGCCATGATTCTATGGAGCGCTCTCAAAATCTCAAAGACTCTTTACGTCAATTAAAGAAGGGCAGTCTCTCCGTTTCTGATTATGGGAAACAATTTAAAGCTATATGTGACAAGCTTGTTGCTATTGACCAACCTTATTATGTGACAATTTGAATGTCATTTTTCTTAGTCAAAATCCAGTTGCACATCGACGAGCAAAACATATTGATATTGATTATCATTTCATTCGTGAACTTGTGTCTTCAGGAAAGTTACACACCAAATTTGTACTTACCAAAGCTTCAGGTGGCCAACATCTTTACAAAACCGTTACCAAAACCTCTATTTGACTCGTTTTGAGATCACATGTGCGACATCCACCTGTTCGTTTGAAAGGGGTATCGGAGATAATATTCCCACAAATTAGATTATTTGATTTGGTCAATCTATTATACATGTTCCTTGTATATTCCTTAAATTATGTTGTACCTTGTATTATAAATTACAACTCAATGCAAATATCAAATTGTGGTGAAATTTATATTTGTCTATCACAAAGGCATAAATATGACACACGCATGTGGCTTAGCGGTATCAATATCGAAAAGGTAAACATCAACAATCAAAGGTATGTTGGATTAGGTGTCTAAGCCAATAACTATATTTGTATATATTTGAAATAAAAGCAAAGTCTTTTTGGGTTGCCCTCAAAACTAGTAATTGACAAAATGACTTTTTGGAGAGAGAGATTGATTTATTGGTTTATTATAATATTAATAAGTAGCAATAAATAATTTATTAATATATTATAAGGTTAATATATTAATTAGAAATATAATTAATCAGAAATTAATTGGAATTAATTTTGAGATTAATTGGATTAATTAAAAGTGTAAGGACCTAAGTTGTAATTGTTCAATAGTTGACCAAGAGAAAGATTCTAGAATTATAAAGGGTAGGCCGAAAATATGGAGCCACCTTAGAGTTCTAGATTAATCCTTAATGATAATTAGGAGTGTTGATAATTACCTAATTTGAGATATTAGTATTATATTCAAATTAAGTTTTCCAGGGTTTCCTAATTCAGCCATATAAGAAGCTTTAGACCTTAAATTTTCAGCCACTCCTTTCTCAAGAAAAAAAGCAAAATTTTTTATCCTCCCTCCTCTCTCCTCTCAAGTCTTCTATTGCTAGGGTTTGGGTACAAACCATTAGAGGTAGGAGATTTCTGGTGCTTGCTTTCTGAAGCTTGTTCAAGAAGGATTTGTTGATTATTTATAAAGGTATGTAAACCCTAAAACCCTTTATGAATTTCGATTATAATAAGGTATTCCTAGGGTTCTTGGTGTTCAATTGTTTGTTTCAATCAATAGAGAAAACTTAGATACAATAGGTTGCATGTGAACTTAGAGTTAAGTTTTTTTTCCGCCATATTTTTTTTGTAACCTATAAAACCTATCAAGGTAGAGATCGAGGGTTCAAGTTCCACTTGGAACACATGTGGTATTAGAAGTAAAATAGAAGTAGATTAGATTTGCCGTTTCAAAAAAAAAAACCTTGCCAAAAATTGAAGGCTCAAATTCCGCTTGAGGCGAAATATATAGATTTAATAGTAGGGTA